GTATAGTATTTGTTTTTTCTCTTTCTGTGTTTGATAGAGAATAAAATTTCTGTCATGTACATAAATAAGATAAGATAAGTAGAATAGACTGTATCATGGCTTCAGTAAATGTATTATTATATAAGGCTAACAATGTCGAAACAAAGAAAAGGAAGCCGAAAAAACCTTTGGTCTTGTTTTGTATTCATTTTCTTTTAATTTAATTGTACTGTGATTCTGCTTGGAAGATTTAAACTTTGTTTTTTTATTTTTACTCCAATTTTTAAAAGCATAAAAATTGACTCTGAAATTGACTTTGCGCTGAAAACTTCGTGTGACTGCACTGATTAAAGTTGAGGTGCAGGCGGCTATACTTCCATGGATTACAGCAGTGCATAAAAGAGAAGAAGAGAAATACGTTTCGTATGATTTAGTCTAGAAAAGATTGCTGTTGCTGTTTCTTTTTTTGGATTCTGCGTAATTTTTGTTCACAGATTAACTTGTGACAATAGTGGATAAATTACTTAAAGCGGTACATAAAATCGTTAAAATATTTGAAAAACACATGTGATAACACTCAATCATGCTCGTGATAAGCAGAGATCGGAGTTACAATACAGTTATTGTTATTTGCCTTATTATCGAAAACAACACAATGTTTAACTATTTGCTGAACGGGTATAATACTAAATGTGTTGGATGGTTTTAAAACAAAGAAGAAGTTTTCGAACGGGAAACGAATCAGTTTGTAATGAGCACAATTTTTAAAGTAATCACTAAACAGATAATCAGTAACACATTGCTGTATTAGAGCAACCGTATTATTATTTTGCTGATTAAAAAATATGATTATTTTCCCGAAATAATATGCTTGAGTTCCAGGTTTAACATATTGAATGAAATAACTATTGGACGTTTCCAATGTCCATCCAAGTATAATTTCAAACAATGTATAGTTCTGGAAGAGAATGGAGAAATTAAAGAATTACAATTGCCATTTCATTTGATTTTAAGGTTTGTCTTTATGACTCATCACTCAATAACTCTATATCCGTCTATTTTCTAATGATCATAGCAATCAATGAGCCCATGATCTTATGATATTAAGACAATTACGACGCCTACTGTGTCAATCAACAAGTGATACAGATCAATTTAAAAACGATTATCGTATACTAATTAAACGTTTGATAGCGTTTGAAATGATACTCGAAGCACTGAACTTACTATTTCAAACAGATTATGTTAATTTATTGACAATGCGTTTATTTCTATAAGAAACTAAAGATTATTTAAATTTAAATATGGATACATTATTAAAACATGATGAGTTAATTAGTTTATATGACTATTGTGAAATGTTCTGAAGATTATTTGATATTTACTGTATCATAGATGAATACAGAAGACGAATATCGACAGTAGTACATACGAATGAGACGCATGAGATGTTCGGGAAAGATGTGAGTATCAACAACAGTTTTATTTTCTAAAAACATGCAATATCTTTTAGAACTGCATATCAAAACTCTTTTTCTAATTTTACTTTTTCAGTTTTAATGGAAAAAGGGATCTTTTCTAGCAGTAGAATGATCTGAATTGTGTAATTTGAGAATGTTTTTTCCATTATTTTTCAATAATTTTTCGAATTATCATTATCGAATAATGAAACAGAAATGTATTACAATATCTTTGATCAATATCATCAGCAGTATAAACAAAAATATCATCAAAATGGAACATTATCAAATACAGATGAGAACATTATATTGAATAAAACGGTACAATTTATTGATGACGTCAACAATCAAACGATAATACCGATGAATCATCTCTGAAACGTGATCATCTACAGCTATTACGTCAAGGTAAAAGTTCTTTTTCTCTAGCTCCAGCCTTTTCATTTGTATTATTTCTATTTTAGGTATTGATAATGTATCGACGAAATTGAATAACAATATTCAGGAGCACATGGCAACATTTGACAAGAAGTTGAAACGTTTATCGGCTGTCTGTGCGCAATCAATAAGTAGCCACGTCTTGCAGAAAGTCAGAATCTGCACAAGTTCTTTAAAGATTTTGCTTCTTGAAATTTCTTGATCAAGATTTACTACGGATGCGAGTCTGACATATCTTGAAAATTCTGTATCAAGCCCTTGAAAAGATTTGGGAACTTTTCTGAACTCATTAATGTAATTATTAATTAGGTAAATTAGTTCCATATTTGGACAAGGTAGGTGAGAGAACCGTAACTACAAGAATTTTACACATATTGATATTCTTTGTGGTACTACATTATAGAGGACCTGACCTTGAATTCTATTGGTCTGCTAGATGCACAAATGAATAAATTACACTTGTTGTTGTCTCTATCACCGTTTTTGTTTTGCAGTGCCCATAGATATATATAGAAATAGATATATATATATATATGGGGAGTTAAATATATATATAATTTGCATTCTAAAAGAAATGAGATATCTTCAAATTCGTTACGGTCATAACGTTAGACTGAACAGCTTCGGTATTGTATGAACAGTACCGTAAGAGCTGTGAATTTTGGCGTACTGTTGATACAGTACAGTACTAAAATTTTTAAGATTGTGGTCTTTATCGTGGAAGAGATGTGTCGCTGGTTGTCGAGGGAACATCGTTGTCGTTACAGTATTTTGCGTTCTTCTACGTGAAAAGTTTCTCCGATCGAAAAAATTAGGCGATATTCGTGCTTCGATCGATGCTCGACGGTCTCATCAGGTGGTCCCAATACGTATTTTTCTACGTACTTTTGTATATATATGTGTATGTATCTAGCATTTTATTTCTACATACAGGCACACATTTTTTGTTGTTCAGATTTGTTTTTTATACGAAAAACGATTTATTTTATCTCATAAATCATTGCTCCTCTAATTTTCGAACTACCTCAAATTACATTTATCTACATATTTTGTCTAAACAAAATTAAGCACGAAACATGGGCTAATCACCAACTAAATAATGAAACTAAAATTCGTGGTGTTTTTACTCATCAAGACTCTCTTCTTATTCAGATAGCTGAGGATGCTAAAGTTTTATCAAAAGACATGATGGCAATGAAACGGTCGATAGTAGTATGACAGGTTTTAAAATTACATTATTTCAATCAAGGTTTAATACATTCATTGATGAAGGAAGTATTGCTTCACAAGCATTAGCATGTGAAATAGTAAAATTAGATGAAACTTATATGCTAGAGATAACACCGTTTTATCTAATAGGAACTCCTAAAGAGTGGTATACTGAAAACAAGCAAAAATGTACCGCATGGATAGTATTTAAACGTAATAATAGTATGAGAGATTTCAAAATTACATTATTTCAAACAAGGTTTAATACATTCATTGATGAAGGAAGTATGGCGTTATGATTCAAAAACTCCAGATGAGTTTTTACATTACATTAAACAGGAAGAAGTATTAGAAGTTTTCAATACACATTTTGATACAATATTAGAGTCAACACGAACATCCGGAGTGTTCACCAAAGTGACTTAGAAAGAAACATAAAACGGAATATGTAAAAGCAACAAAAGGTGGACAACATTTGTCGGAGAGGGGATTAAATTTGTACAATTATTCGTTCATAAACGGGTTGTAGATCACTAACATGAGTAATATGTTGTATTGATATAGCTGCATCTTCAATAAAATAACGAGGATGGTGCGCTTCAACAATATATAACAAACTGAATAACGTTGAGCAAGTTTTGGATGAGAGCCAGGATGATGCCATAAAACTAATGCATTTGGTTAATAAACTGGATCTGTTCGGTTTCCATCATATCGACGTTTTGCTATATCTTGTTGGATTTGAATATTCTGACATAATGCGTGTCTGTATGCTTTCACAAGGCGATACATTTGAGTCCAGTAATCATTAACTTTTGACAGTAAGAATGTTGCTTTATATTGTTTTCTAAATCGCTTTGGTTCATCTTCTTAGAGGGCGGAGGTATTATGCTAGGAATAGTTCCTCTCCTTCTGAAGTATCCTTGACGAAGGAATGTGCGATTATGACAAATACATTCTTTGACGATAGCTATTCTTCTCTCTGTTCTTCATTATATATATAGTTCTGTTTTTCTATGTATTGGGAGGTTAGTCAACTTTGGACGAACATAGTTAGAAGGACGAGGCAAACAGTCAGGCGAAAATTCTAACGCAAACTGTTTTCGTTTCGGAGAGCCGAAAATTATACCAGCTCGGTATGAAATCAGAAATCCCTTTTTTTTACAGTATCTTCCCAAAAACTAAAACAGACGTATTTCTTGCTCAGACCTATAGTTTCTATGTAAGAAACTTTTATAAGACCTTAATATCTTGCATTCTGTCTACTTTTTACAGTCAATAAACTGACGTACAAAAGATGACTTTATGGTGGTTTGTGTTTCCTTGGGTTTAATAGAAAATAAGCCAAGTGGACTAGATTTGCACAATTCTTGTTCCTATTTATCATTTTAGTAATGTACTTCCGTTAGCTAATTATAGCCTTCTATGTATGTCACGACATGTCATTTTATGTCTTGACAGTACGTGCCAATATACTATTTCGAAATTTCATCTACTCAACTTCATTCCTTAAGTGTAAAACTTGTTTTGTTTTGTCATTCGTCATATTCCATATAGATTTCTGGATTGGGAATATTTGCTTCGAAAGTAAGTTGCTGCACCCTACACATTCAAATGTACTATTGACTTTGAGTTCAGGCTTTTTAATCAATTATGAATATCTCAGAGGACAACAGCACTTCGGTCTATATCAGCAGTACTCCTTCGCGTCCAATAATATTTGTTATATTATTATTCATTGAATTATTCTCGATAACATGTTCTCTATTTGTGTTCTATCATTTTTTCAAAAATCGACTACTTCGACAATCAATGCATAACCATGTTATTATTCTAATATTAATCGTCAGTTTTATTCAAGTTATATCTGACTTACCACTAATATTAAACTTTCTTCGCCTCGGTTACGTTTATCCTTCAATGCCAACATTCTGTTTATTTTGGAATTTTTATGATTATTCATTAAATGGTATCAATTTGTATCTGATGACGTGGGCATCATTTGAACGTCATCTACTCATTTTTCATCATCATATATTAGCAAATACTACTCAAAAACTTTTTTTGCATTATCTACCATTGATATTATGCTTGATTTATCCGACGATACTCTATTTTTCTCTCATAATTGTATATTTCGACTGCCACAATGATTTTGACTACAGTCAACTATTATGTATTGGGCCGTGTTATATCAACAATGAAGCTCTGGGAATGTTCGACTGGTTAACAAATATATTTGCACCCTGCATAATGATATCCCTGTTAAGTTTATCTTTACTAATACGTGTTCTGTGGAAAAAGCGACAAATGAAACAGTCTTTATCATGGAGAAAAAAATCGAAAGATGACGATTCAGTTGCTGGGCATATCATGTCTGTACGCTATATCGTGGTTGCCTACATCAATTGCAGGAGTGGTCAGAATCCTTTATGGATCCTCATGGCTGTTAGACGAACTGCAATATTCGTATTTTTTTATTCTCGATTATTTAGCACCACTCCTATCGCCATTCGTATGTCTAGGTTGTTTGCCTGAATTGCTCAAGAAACTGACGCTGCATAATGTAATTATACCTGCAGTGAAAGAATAAAGACGACTCGTCAATTCAGTTATAACAATTAGAAAATATAAAACTATATATAAAATATTGTCGAATACACGAAATTTTTGGAAATTCATAAATAAAATGAATATAGGGGTGTGACTATGCTACGCACGAATACGGCTAAAACAGTAAACTAACTGTCAACGTCTTGTAACGTAATTTCAACCGTCGTACAACAATTAGAACAGACGTGTAATGCGGTTTGCATTGAAACACCTGTCAGTTTGTTGATTCAATGAAAATTTAATAAACATATCAATATGAAGAAAAAAATAAAGTTCATGCAGAGTCGTGGAAAATTGCTTTTTCGTATTCAGCACACTCCTGTAAATACGATACATTATAGCCTAAATGCTTTACATACTGAAGTTCTGAAGTCGTTCTGATGTATTCTGAGCGAATAGTGAATTTTTTAATATTAGGTGAAAATCGCCTGAAAACTACAGTTTTCGTAAAACTCCCTTTTTCGCTAGATTTTAAGAATTTTTTATAAAAGCAAATATTGCCACGAAGCTCAGCATAATCAATTACCTATACACCATTGGCTTTCAAGGCTACTAATAGTCACCAGGTGCCAGTCGTAGGACTCATAGAAAATTCGATACAACGCCAGAGCCGTAGAAAATCTAGCTCTTATCTAACTCCCATTTTCAAGAGCACATCTCGGACTATTAGCACATGAAAATAATCAACATAATCCCATTGGAAAATTTTTACACACGACCTGGCTTTCCAAAGATCTGCCAAAAAGCCTGTTTCAAAACTCTTCTAAAAATAATTCTGCTTGTAGAAACACGCCGCTAAGTCTTCTCTTTCGCATGGTGAAAACGAAAGCTCTCTAGCTTCCATCAAAAGTTATGAAAAAAATATCCACTGCTCTTGTATTTTGAAACGAGTAGTAGAAGATAAATTGAACCGACTAGAATATTGGTACCATGATCTATTGCGTTCGTACACGGTAGCCTGCTCGCGAATTGAACGACTAACAGAGTTAAATTAGCATCTCATGGACCAGGTAAAAATATCCAGACTAATTGAGATTGATAAACATACAAGATATATGTGGACGACAAATGAATATTAAGGATTAGAAGGCGAAGTGAAGTTTATTAAAGAGGGGAATCGAACTCTAAAAAAGAAATTAGCGATGTCACAAAAGAAAATTAGCATGGACGTGAGAATATTTATATCAGGATATCGAATGATTAAAGGGCATATGACGCGGATTTGGAATGAAAATTTTTTAAGCTCGCTTTTTAGACTGGGATGCCAGAACGATCGAAAAGAGCAAGAGTTTAGCTAGAAAGAATGTTCTAAGCACAAACAATGTATCTATTTTATATTTTCAGAATTCGTTTATTTATCTTAAAAAAAATATAGTTCAAAAGCAAAAAACGAAGTTGATGGCATATCAATCACTTTTCGCTTAAGTACAAATTTCAACGAGACGCTAATTTAGCTTTTTTTCTAGGCATGTTTGTTTTCTTCAAAAATCCGGAAAACACGCCTAGTGCTATGGCCAAAATGCATCATTTGGTTGACTGTTCACAAATTTAAGTTAAATATAAAACGACCAATGATTAAGATACTTAAACGAGCGGAGACAGTAGAAGAGCCTCTTGATTTTGTTAAACATGAGAACATGTCTTAATTTTGATATAAACATGAGAATTTCTCTGGTAAAACGATATTTCAAATTATTAACACGTCTATACGAAGCTGGGTGATTTGCGCTGGTATTGCTATTGCACCACGAAAATTTAAATGCTATATCTTCAGTTTTGTGAATCAATTTTAAAATCAGAGACTCCCACAATTCTTTTCTCCGTTTAAACACGGATAATTAATTTTGTCTGACTGTTTTTGTTTAAACAGCTACAAAAAATATTTGCGTTTAAATTAGACCTTTTAATCTTTTCATGTAAGCGCTCATTTTCAATAAAAGACAAAGGAGATGTTTAAAACAACAATTATTTTATTTGCACTTAATGGCTCACTTTATTTGCATTTTATTTTATTTTATTTTTGTACGAAAATGAGCTTTTCATATTGTAATTCCCATCATAACACTTTCAGGTAAAAGAGACACTGTTTCAATTTAAAGTTGTATTTTTGCTAGTTTCCAGTCGTCTGTGATCCGAAAAAATTGCTGTTGAGCACGTTTTTCTACACGCACATGTAAAAATCTTCTGAAAATCTCTAGTCACTCTTTATGCCAGATCCAAAACGCGAAGAAGCCGTAAAAGCGCATCTTTTTACCCTGTTTGAGGCAGAATGCAAACACTCAATTGAAATATATGGGATTCAAGGACGAACCTTTTACCGCCCCTTTGAAGCTGATTTGAATGCTACGCCAAACCACAAAATTGTTTAGAATCTTGAACTCAGTTAAATATACGAATTTTCCATCCATTGACTTCGTCGAGTTGTGTATGACACACTACTTTTTATCCGGGACACACGTTCATCTTCGAATATGCCCAAATACTGGATAAATCATGTAAAATGTAAAACATGATTTTCATAGGGAAAAATGTGGCTAAATTCAAATGCGAGACTGCTGTCGGATTCCATTGAGATGTATACGATACATTGCTTTTCATCTGCGACACATGCTTATCAGAGAGTATTCGCCAAGAATAATAACGTGATCGAAACTGTTTCATTGAAAGAAAACACTGCCTCGGCTGTATATCGCGGCATATTACCTAAAGATATCAGCCATAGACGCATTTTATAGAGTTCGACGAGTTCTTTGTGACACGCTTTTTCCACAATGTTTGCCAAAAATATCAGAACAAGAGACGGTAAAAGGTTT